TATATCCAAAACGGTTAAACTTTAGTTCCCCATGATACCCGACAAGTAAGTCTTGAAGCACTTGTCTAACCCCTCCCAGTCGAAAATCGTTCCAACCCTAAGCCTAACCCCTACACGGCCTACCAAGGCTCGCTGGTCTGAAACTAAGTGAAGGCTTCCAATCGAAGTACTAGTTACACTTATGGTTGTTATTATTCGTGCTCCTATGATTACTTATTATCATTGTTACTATTGTTGTTGTTATCATTACTATTGCGAGTCAGAGAATTGCGACTCAGAAGCTCTTGCACGCAAGAAACAGTCCCGCAAAAGAGCATCATCCCAAGCCGTGCAAGCCTTCGCTGTCGCTGGTCCTGAATATTTTGAAGGACGATCGTGTGGCGGTGGTGCTTATGGAAGCCGGCAAGAATTGCTGCAGCCTCGGGACTGCCCGGCCAATTTGACCTTAGCAATGCAGCCAAGGTTCATGTATCTTGTACCTCAACCGAGAGACAATCCTCGTAGATCCCTGCTAACCTTTTGACCGGACCGTGGGGCAACTCGTCCGCCAAAGTTCAAGAAGCCAGAAGCCTCAATGCCTTAGCAGAAGCTAGACACTGCAAGTTCAAAGCCCCACTCCCACCCTCTCAAGTCCTGTGCTTGAAGCCATCCGAACCCTGACGCCACCAACACTTCCAGAACGCTGAATTGGAAGCTCCCGAGACCCTAAAAGCTCTAAACCCTTGATCCTAAACCCTTGACCCTAAACCCTAAACCCTCGATCCTACAGATTTCGCCCCAAAACCCCCAACACCCTACAAGGCCCCCCAACACCCTCCAAGGCCCGACAAGCTAAACCCTGAACCCCAAACCCAAAGGCGTGGAAAGGAGCACTTTTGAGCCATTACAGGAACCCGCAGAGGGTTGATGATGTAAATCCTGCATTACCTTAAGGACCCTAACCTACGGGAATGATGGTATATGCCTTATTATGGGTGATGCAGGGTTTATACAATCAACAGTATGGGGGCCTGAATAAGTAGAATAGGGTTCCATTTAAAGGGGCTTATATATGAGGATTACTATCAGCCCCTTTAAAAGGAGCCCTATTCTAATTATCATCAACCGAGAGGAACCCGAAAACCCTGAAGTGCCGAGGCTTCGCGACTTCCTTGACCACTGCCGCCAGCTTTTTGGCGAACATGGCTTCTGTCCGGGCCTCTGAGACTGCCTCGGCCAGGTAGGACTGCAGGGCTTAGGGATTTAGGGTTTTAGGGATTTAGGGTTTTAGGGATTTGGGGATTAAGGGTTTAGGGATAAGGAGTCAGGGTTTGGTGATGTTTAGGGTTTAGGTTTCGGAGTGCAGGGTTTAGGACGCCGTGGACTTTCCAGCTTCGGGCCATGGGTTTGCGGCTGAGGTTTTTCGGAGATGTTGGTTATGTTGACTTTTGGCCGAGAGCCCAACCTCACAACGGCGCTGAAACGCCCTTAACTAGCCGCAAACCCTGAAGCCCCAAACGTGAAAGCCCTTTTCTCCCAACCCTGAGCCCTATGTAAACCCTGGCTGCTCATAAGTTCGACCTGTTAAAACCCGTTATAGACCCCTCGACCTCAAACCCCAATCCTTGAGCCCTGAACTCCTAAACCCTGAATTCGAAGACCCTAAACCTTAAACTCGTAAACCCCGAATAGGCACGGCTCTTTCACAGGTTCTCCAACCTCTGCGGGAGTTCGGCTTCTTCATGGGCCCGGCTCTCGAGCGTCAAAAGATCAGTGCTTGTATGAGGGCTCCGTGCTTAGGCTTACAAGGTTCAGGCTTGAGGGTGGGGTAAAGTGCACGCTAGAAAGTTGGAACATGGACAGGGGATGATTAGCATGGGGATTCTAGCTTTTAGTTTACTTTACAGCCTGCATATGGGGTCTACAATTTTTATACGGGGTTTATGTAGGGTCTGCACAGGAGTCTTATGAGGTTCATAGGGCTTGGGCTTCGTAGGCTTACAGGATGTTTGGACCCTATGAGCATTGACCCGGGAAAGTGGGTCCCGGTTTGGTCCCCCCCCGATTTGTTCGCAAGGAGCTGAAGCTCAAATTGCGCGCGAAGACGAAACTTGAAGACGAAAATCGGCCATGAAGACGAAATTCCGGTGAAGACGAAATTCGGTTTGGGGCACGCTGAAGACGAAATTCGGCCCTGAAGACGAAATTCGTCCTGAAGACGAAATTCGGCCCGAAGACAGGATTACTCAGCGTCGTTGAAGGCTCTGGAATGCTTTTCTGAAGATAAGCAATTCGCCTAAAGACGAAACTCGGCTGTGAAGACGAAATTCGGCCCTGAAGACGAAATTCGGCCCTGAAGACGAAATTCGCCCCTGAAGACGAAATGCGAATTCGGCCCTGAAGACGAAATTCGGCCCTGAAGACGTGGCCTCAACTCGTCGAGCTGCTGTCGCTCAGGCCAATTCGAAAGCCATTCTCGGCTTCAGGCACATTCCAGGCTTCAGGATGGGGGAAGACCGACTTTCAGCTTCGGCGTATTCACGTGTCGACTAGGCCACGTCAGGCACATTTTCGGCGTCAGCCTCCGGTCAGGCCGAGTTGAAGCTTCAGCGAATTCGAGCGCCGAATTACGGCGTCAGGCACATCTTCGGCGTCAGGCTGCGGGCCGACCGAATTTAAGCTTCAGGGATTTCGAGCGCCGAATTTCGGCGTCAGGCACATTTTCGGCGTCAGCCTCCGGTCAGGCCGAGTTGAAGCTTCAGCGAATTCGAGCGCCGAATTTCGGCGTCAGGCACATCTTCGGCGTCAGGCTGCGGGCCGACCGAATTTAAGCCTCAGGGATTTCGAGCGCCGAATTTCGGCGTCAGGCACATTTTCGGCGTCAGGCTGCGGGCCGACCGAATTTAAGCTTTAGGGATTTCGAGCGCCGAATTTCGGCGTCAGGCACATTTTCGGCGTCAGGCTGCGTGCCGACCGAATTAAAGCTTCAGGGATTTCGAGTGGCACATTTTCGGCTGCAGCCACCGGATCGAATATCGGCGCCGAATTCGAGCGTCAGCCGATTTGCGGCTTCAGCCAGCACCGACCGAATTTAGGCGCCGAATTTCAGCTTCAGAATTTAAGCTTCAGGGGGGGTACGAAACCAGGACCCACTTCCCCGGGTCCCTGAAGGTCGCCGAATTTGGGCGGGGCAGCCGGGTGTGTGGAGTTTGAGGTTTCAGGTGTATAATGTGGGATTTAGGGTGCTTGACCCCTAAACCCTAAACCCCAAACTTGGTCGTTTAAGGTTTATCGCGTTCTATTGGGTTGACAGGCTTCACCTTAATTTCAAAACATTAAAGTCGCCCAAATTCTAAACTTTCTAACCCTATACCCTGCACCATGTGCGCACCACGGTCAGATCTAGAACTTACTTTAGAAGGCTCGAAGCTAGTTGGGGTATCGACGTTTAGGGTTTGGGGTTTAGGGTTGTGTGGTTGATAAACTCTCATAAGCCCGATGAAGGTACATATAACCATACTTACAGCTGCCCATTGAACCCCCCAAAGCATCCTAAGCCCTTGTTTGAATGTGTGACGAATGTAAGGTGTGGGAGTAATTGTCAAATTGTCCCCTTCCGGTCTCCTATCTATCTGTCTCTTACTTGGAATCCTCGCTGTGTTATAATGATATAGGCAAGATAGGGTGGAGTATAAGTGTGTTACGAAAGGGTTATAAGTGTATGCTAAGTCTATACTAAGTATGTGTTAAGTCTGTATAATAATGGTTAAAAGATGTTATGTGTTATGTCATGTTAGTAATAAAATCAGTTTTTTAGCTAAGTCAAGTCAAGTCCGCTAACTAGTTATATTTTTTTAACTTTTTAGGTAAGGTTTTATGTATATGTTTTTCTATGTGTTGACATGTTTTTTTTATAGAGCTGTAATCCGTTTTTGGTATAGTGGACATGCTTTTGTGGCTAGCAGGAAAAGCTTTCTGTATAGATATATTTCTGCATGCACACAAATTTTCGTAACGATTTTTGAAACGAACCTGGAGAGATTCTGTTGCAAGTCCAATTGCCAGGTTTGGCCATGAGCTTCGTAACCATGCCAAAACCACAGACCGAGTTTTTTTTTGAAAGCCGGAAACCATGTTTGCTTGCAAGTGGTATATCGCCATGTGGCTGGAAAGTTGATATTGATACAGGAATGCAACATGAGTGTTGTGAGAATTCTGTGATACTTTCGTGAGGTTTCCAAACCCAAGCCATCCAATTTGGCCTGCCCGTTTTCCCGCTCTGCAGAAGCCATGGTCACCATTGACAGCCATGTCGTCGTGAAATACCAAAACGAGCCATTCGTCGCCATTCCCCAGTACTGGATTGTCGAAAGCTCCAGTGGCCAAAAGTTTCTGCAGATGCGAGCCTCCAGTTTGCCCATCGTGCAGCTGCTCACAGGGGCCAAAAATCCCAGCAGAGCCAGCTTGACCTTCTACGAGCCCTTCAAGAAGTTGCAGGAAAGTCGCAACAAGGCCATGGATCGCTATGCCAACGGCGACGAGGACCAGGGCGACGAGGCCAACCAACTCTTCGAAGACCAGGATGGGGAACCCCAGAGGCAGCCCAGGCGTCACAAGATCCAAAACCTCCCAGAAACTATCAACATCCACGTGGGGAACACCATTATTCCATGCCTGCTCCCAGAAGATCGCCGCCGGCCCAAGGCTGCAGACCTGGCAGTGCCACTGGAGAGCAACACCATCGGTGCCATCATCGACCACGTTCGTGCCAAAGTTGAAGAATTGGAGGCCCACATGCAGCAGCCCAAGAAGAAGGCCAAGAAGAAGCAGTAATAGGCTTCCGACCACTGCAGCTGCGACCCACCGCTTGGGATTGAAAAAAAAGGGCCTCTGCGACTAAGCCATGCATTATGGAGTAAGAGGGAAGCTTTGTCCAGACGTCAAGTTTCTATACCATGAGTTTGGGCCCAGACTGCCCAGTTTTGCTTTTGCCACTTTTGGCCAGCTCCAAGCTTCTTGCCATGGCTGGTGTGCCAGAGAAGGTGGTCCAAGAAGTGGAAGCCATGATGTCCTCGACTGCTCCAGTGAATACGAAAGTGGACCAGATCGTCCAACTTCTAAGGACACATGGCCTTGCCCACGACCAAGTTCTGACTCCAAGTCAGATCTTGGTACACCCAGAAAACCGAGGCAAGTCCATGGTGTCCTACTACGACGTCTGGTCCAAGGGCAGCCAGATGACCAGTGTCGGCTTCCAACCCAAGCTGCTCGACGGCCAGACCATCTGCACCCAAATGGCCACTGCCGAGACCAAGAGACTTGCCCAAGTGCAAGCCAACCGCCAACTGGTCTCTGAGGCCAAGGGCCATCTGGCACCAGTGAGTGGCCAGGAAGGCACCTGGCTCATGCATGCTTATAATGTTTTGAAAATTGTTTGGTGTTTATAGACCATTATATAAGCCCTGTGTAGATGTTTGGTTCCCTGCCGCTCAGGCTTCCTCTCCCTTGCAGGGAGCCACAGTGTTGCCTTTCTCCGATGCCTCCAGGCGGGCATCCAAGGACCAGAGGGCTATCACGTCGCCATTGCGAAGTCGGACCCAGCATGGCGAGCGATCGAGCAAGGATGGTGCTGGATCGTGCTGGCAGCATCCATTGAAGAAGCCATGCCACAACTTCCCAACTTTATTCAGCATGCTGCCAACTCGTCCAACTCAATATCCAAAGCCATCAACGAGTTGGAGGTTGCCCTCCATGTGGCCACTGCATTTGAGAAGGGCTTGAGCCTTCCAGATGCCATCCAGCAGGCCAGCCAAGGCGACGTGAGATGCCGTGCCAGTGTCCCCGCCATCGCCAAATTCGTCCAGAACTTCGGCGGCGGCAGCCAGGGGTTTCCACTCCTCCATTTCCTTGCCAATTTTGGGAAGCAGTTTAATGCCACACTTCTGGTGGGAACCGAGCTGATGTCCACCCTGGTGTCGCTAGATTTCAAGCAAGCGACGTGCATCTTTCCCATGCTTCGTGTGGCGGCATGGGCTACCATGTTGACCAGCCCAAAATCCCAAGACGGGTTCAGCCGCATCCTATCCACCAACGATCTCCAAAAACTGAAGGCACCAGGCATGCTCGACCAAGTTACCCAAGCCGAAAACATGCTCCAAGAGGCTTGGAAGGTCCAACAGGATCTTCTTGTGGAGCAGACCCACCATGCGTCCCACTTAACCAAATGCTTTGGTCGATTTGCAGTCAGAGTTTGTTTGTTCCTCACGAACAAACAAAGGGCAGGCCGGGAAACCAAGCACTGGCAATCTCTCCAAGCCATCTTGACTGCCTACACCAAGGAGATCCAAGACAGCTCGGCTGGCGATGCCATTGCGGACCACAGCATGACTCCAAACATGCAGGTGACGGATGTCTTGGCGGCCAGCAACAAGACCATTGCCATGCTCCAAAACAACCACATGGAACTGGGCAAGTTGTTGCTTGGAGCGGAAGCTAGCAATTGGCCTATAGCCAGAATATCCTTGTAAGAGAATATACATAAGCATATAGGCAAGGAATATGCAGATGTGGATAGATTCCTTGATGCCAAGTGCTGAGGTACACCACCAAGGACCACGGTGCCAAGGTGTTCAAGCTGACGGATGTCACGGACGACCATGCCACCATGACTCACAAGCCACTCTTCCAAGATGAGGAAGAAGTCCATGTGCCATTGCAGAAGCTGCCAATGTGGAAGGCCACCAAGGCCATGATGCCGATGTTGTGCCCCCAGGATCTTGCCAGGGAAGGAATGACGGCGAAGCTTCTGTTGGAGGAGCGGGCCAGGTCGGAGGTCCAGCTGGCTCTCCACAGAGCGGCGGAAAAGCACCATGTGGATGCCCAGACCATCGCTTTCGGCCAGAACCCGCAGGGGTTGTTTGCGATCAAGACAATTCGCAAAACCATTCGTTTGGTTCCACTGGGCACGGTGAACAAAGCCAAGTCGACCGCCAAGGAAACGAAGCTCCTCATCCAGCACGGCGGCCACAGCTGGACCATTGGGCCGTTCCGCCAGAATGCGCAGTTCGAACGAGCGAGACCTCCGAGGTCACCATGGTTCACTCCACGGTCGTCGAGTCTGGGATTACCATCCCATGCTTGGAGAATCCTGCTCCGCTGGAACAGCACCAGCCGCTTTTGTTCCTGGCGGCCCATGCCGAAGCTTCCGAAGCAGACCACGGCGAGCCAGAGCCATCAGAGGCCGAGCCTAAAGCCAAAGCCAAGGCCAAGGCCAAGGCCAAGGCCAAAGAGCAGTCTGAGCCTCCTTCCAAGAGGGCCAAGAAGTGAAGAGCTTTTGCAGGTGCAAGGGAGCGGGCTCCACTTTAAAGACCCAAAGACCATGGCGGGTTTTGAAGCCAGCCGCCAGAGTTTTGCAGGAGAAGAAAGGTTCGCAAAGGTGTTTCCCGAAAGGGCAGGGGTGCATTGTTGCATGCATGTGCCATGTGGCTTTTCCATGAATGGACAGCATGCATGAATTGTGCGATGTTTGGTATAATTCTTCTTCGTCCATGCACAGCAGCTGTTTGCCAGACAAGGCCAGAGGCTGTCCACAGCAATCCATCATGGAGCTTGCACCTGCAGCCGCCCCTGAGCCATGCGAAACTCCAGGCTGCCAGCGGTTTGCCAACTTGGGCCAAACCAAATGCTGCAGGAAGTGCGGCCAAGGTGGCAGCCATTCCAGCAGATGCTCGGCCAGGCAGGACCACTTTGCGGGCAAAAGGACCAGCGGCACCGCCGGCATAACCGGCACTCCTCTCCGCTTGAACCCAAAGTGGGTGCCCATGTGGTTCGGTGCCAGCCTCCGGGTGCGGACCTTTCTCCTCCATGCCCACGAGACGAGACCATGGAGGAGTTCCAAGTGTCCATGGAGCCATCCACAGCATCCACGTCCTTCCAAAACTGGCTTCGAGCTCAATTGGTGGCTGTGCATGAAGCCACCCATGGTGACCAAGGCTCCAATGCTGATCTCACCAGAATAATCAAAGAGCTTCTGCACCAGCCATGAGCATGCCTGGACGGTGTGAAAACATGTGCTTGCAGGCATATACACATGTGTATATATATATATATGTATATAAGCAGTTGTTTTATGAATGTATTTTTTTCTGCAATCGTGTAGAAATTTCTATAGATGTACATGTATATGATATATACCTCTGTATACATATGTTTGTGTAAATGTTGCATCTCTGAAGTTTTGCTACAGAGTGCCAATGTGGCCACTATATGTCCATAAATACAGGCTATGCATGTATGTAATATATATATATATATATATATATATACATACATGTTCATACTTATACATACACATACAGATTTATGTACATATCCCTATCTGTACTGCCAGAGTGGCTTGCATCTTATATGTATGTATATATATATATATATATCGGCCGATGTGGCTTGCACCATTTCTTTCTTAATTTGCCAATGTGGCCGGTTCGCTTTGCAGAGAGAGAGAGAGAGAGAGAGAGAGAGAGAGAGAGAGAGAGAGAGAGAGAGAGAGAGAGAGAGAGAGAGAGAGAGAGAGAGAGAGAGAGAGAGAGAGAGAGAGAGAGAGAGAGAGAGAGAGAGAGAGAGAGAGAGAGAGAGAGAGAGAGAGAGAGACAGAGAGAGAATAGAGACAGTCAACGAGACCTTGCATGAGATTCTTGAATGGTGTGCGGATGCTGCAGCCATTCTTGCCAAGTGTTGGCCTGCCCCATAGCGCTCCCAAGCCACCAGCCCTCCAAGATGGCCCCGAAGGCCGGTGCAGGGTCTCCATTTGGGTCCTGCTTTAGATATCTAAAGGGCACATAACGACCCTGCAGGCACAAGCCATGAAGGCCCAGCAGGACTCCAAGGCCACGGTCTCCAAGCAGAACATGAAGAAGCCGGCCGCCAGCAAGACCACGGAGAAGCCAGTTTTGCCAGCCGGCAGCAAGACCACGGTGGAGCCAGAGGCCATGGACCCCATGGAGGACACTTTGGGCATGACCAAGGCCCAGCTGCAGGCCATGTTTGGCCCAGGCTTCGAGCCAAACTTCGAGGAGCCAATTGGGGGCCATTTGGCACTCCATTGCTCCAAACCAGGCTGCAGCAGCTGGGTGTGGTGCCACAAATTGTACCAGCGGAAGGTTTGCGTGCAATGCGGGCAAGTCTGGCTTCGGTCGTTTGTCGACCATGGATGCCGGCTCCAATGGCATGACTGACCACTTGGACCATGATGGCTTGGTGGAGTGAAAAAGAGAAGTTGCAAGCCTTTATTTGTCAAAAGGCCCGTAGCCTATATCTCACCCCTTAAGCCTCCAAGCCTATCTCGGCCCAAGGCTCCAAGCATACAGGGTTTCGCCTTTGATGGCTCGCTATTTCGCTAGGAGCACATGACATGTTTCTAGATGTCAATATATATATATATATATATGTGGTCAGAAGGCCCGTATCCTAGATGTCATCCCACAAAGCCTCCAAGCCTATCTAGGACCAAGGCTCCAGGTTTCCAGAGTCCCTGCTATAGTTTCGCCTTTCATGGCTCGCTTTTTCGGTAGGTGCACTTTACATGTTTCTATATATGTCTTGCTATATATATATGTATATATATATAAAGACATGTAGGTATTTCTTTATATAAACAACAAATTTTTCTACAGATTTTGATATATAGAGAATTATGTATGTATACTGGCAAAGCTGTAGACACAAAGTATGTCTAGTCACAAACACAGTTTCGAATTGTTGATCCTGCCACTGTGCTGCAGCCTTTCGTGCTCCAGCACACTTTTGCCATCCACGGCCAGCTTTGCTTTTGCATTTTGCACCATAATGTCCGGTGCCGCTCCCAAGAGCAATGCCAAGGCAGCCATGCCCACGGCAGCCTCCACAGCCTCCACGGCCAAGGCCCCTCCGGTGCTTGGGCCATGGGTGGCACCCATGCCAAATCCAGCGGTTGCACCATGGGTGCTTGCAAGGCCATTGGTGCCAGCCAACCAGGTCACGGCCCTCACCATGGCCTGCGGGTGGTACGTCCCACCCACTGCTGTTGTCCAGCATGCCACGGCGAGGTTCACCAACCAGCGGCCCAACTTCAACTATCCAGAGCCCACCCACTGGATCTGGGTGGAGTGCACCAGGTGCCAGGCGGCCATGGTGTCACTCCATGACATCCACCAGGCCAGATCCTGCATCCGCTGCGGCCACTCTTGGTTCCAGTCCATTTTGGTGGGCTGCGGATCTATGAGCCACGGCAGGACCAGGGCCACTTCGAAGGACGACCACGAGGACCAGGGCCAGGTGAACCAGGAGGGCCAGGATTGGTGGGCTGCAGAAGACGAGGGCCAAACGGACCACGAGAGCGACCATGATAACGAGGCGTTTCCGTCTCCAAATTGGCCAGACTGGGCAGTCATGGATTTTCTGAATGCCCTGCAGGAGCCCGAGAACCTCGACGAGCCCCAGAACCAGCAGCCCATGGAGCAGCCCACGGAGGAGCCCACGGAGGAGGCCACGGAGGAGCCCACGGACGAGCCCACGGAGTCCCAAGACCATGCAGGACCATCCCATAGCAGCATGTTCTGCTTGCCTTTGTTGTGTGACCTGGCATGCAGGACCAGCGGCCTAAAGGCACCATGCATGGTCTTCCATGGAGCGAGCGGCCAGGGCACCATGGATCTTCCATTGCATCTTCCATGCGATGACAAAAAATTCGCAAAGGATCTCAGGTTTCGATGGTTGGAGATATTATAGATAGAAATCTATTGAAGTTAAGGTATATAGGGTTTAAATATATAATATATAATGGGGTTTATAAGTATAGGGGTTTATAGGGTTTCTATAGGGTTGAGTGCTTATAGGGTTTAATAGGGTTTATATAGGGCTGTGTCTTTCTATCTCTAGACATGTAGATATTCATTTTGGGATTATTATAGTCTTTAAGTTTGTATAGGGTTTAGGGTTGGGAGGTTTTAAGTCCTTTTTAGGTATTAAGGTTTCAAGACATACAGAGACATTGTTTCAGCTGTCCGGGAACATAGGGATTCAAAGTTCCAGTGTAGATCTACATGTATATATACATCCACAGGAATATATATATATATATATATATATATGTATCATTTTTTATACAGACAGATATATATATATATATATACAGACTCAGATATATATATATATATATATATATATATTCTAGTGTATATATACTGCTACTTATACAGATTTGTTGCCAGAATGGCCAGTATACCCATTGCCAGTGTGGCCAGCATGTTCATATTGTTTTACATTTATATGTAGCCACAGCCATCATGGCCAGCTTCTTTAGATTTCTCATCCACATATTGAAAGACAGCCATCGTGGCCAGTTTTTGTTTTATATGGATATAGCCATCATGGCCAGCAAACTCCAACACCAGTCCCAGCAACCAGTGCAGCACCATAAGCAATGTGAAACCCAGCAGCCCTATAGTGCATGCATCTCCTGTCCGAGTGCCAGTGTGAGCTGGTAGCAGACCCCAGTCGCAGGCACATGTGCATCACATAATGTTGTAATCCGAGCCCGTTCTCTCCAGCGGTTCAGTAGAGTCGCAAGCACCAAACAAGCCTCACCCAGACCATGCGAGCAGACTGAGTAGATGGAAACTTACAAGCAGTGTTCAACAAACAGTGGTTGCATTCAGGATTGCACCAACAATCCTAAGTACAAGAGCTTTGCACTTAGGATTGCAATTACAATCCTAAGTGCAGAATTTCTGCACTTAGGATTGCAATTACAATCCTAAGTGCAAAATTTCTGCACTTAGGATTGCAATTACAATCCTAAGTGCAATAAGCCATTGTTTGGCGTTTTCCATTTCTCCACGTGACCTCCACCGGCAACAGGACTGTGGTGCCGACGACACCGAGTCAGAGCCCACAGCCCTGCGATGAGTGAAGTCTCCCATGAGACAGTGGTGCAGGAGAGGTCCACGGCCAAGGCACGGACCCAAGTCTTCGCATGGCCGACACCACCAGATTGGGTGAACCTACAGGCTGCTGCCCAACAAGCAGCGGTGCTGGGCCGAATGGGACCAGTGCTGGGACAGTTTGGGCCGACAGCACCACTGGTGCCTCCAACAGAACCCTTGGTGCCTCCAACAGCACCATTGCTGGCTCCGACAGCACCATTGGTGCCTCCGAAGAGCAGCATGGCTGCCTTCAGTTGGACCAATGGTGCCCCCAGTGGCACCATGCCTGCCTTCAGCAGCACCACTGCTGCAACCGATGGTGCCTCCAGCGGCAGCATTTCCTCCAGCTGAATGGGTCCATGGTTGGCAGCCAGAGGCAACCACACACAGCATGGAGGTAACGTTCGGAGGCAGGGGACCCAGTCAGCCACGACAACCCCCAGCAGAGGCCGCAGCAAGACCAGCACAGCAGGCAGCACCACCAACAGAACAACAAGGCCCTGGGAAGGAACAGCAACAACCACCATCCCAAGCAGCCGGGCCAACAACACAGCAGCAGCCACGGCAGCAGCCACCCGCAGCAGAGCAACAGCCACAGCAGCAGCAACCTCCCTGGCGGCGACAACCAAAGGAACCAGCAAAGTCAGCAACGGAAGCGGCGAGGCCACCAATGGAACCCACTCGACCAGTGGGCCCAATCAGCAAAGCCAACGTTATGAAGGGCAAAGGCAAAGGCAAAGAATCCAACATCCCGGCCGCATTCCGAAAGCAAGCATTGGGCCACACACCCATGGTCGTTCCGCCACCGAAGCAAACACCAGAGCCGGCCACCTCCTCCCACGACCCATGGGCTTTCCAAGGACCGCCGCCCAAGCTGCAGCCACGAGAACCAGACTACCCACCACCTGGATTCGGGCCAAAGCAAGTGGGAAAAGAACCACCAAAGGCCAGGCGACCCACTGCTGCTGCACCAGCCGGTGCCATGCCGGATGTGCCACACCGACACACAGGCTGGAAACACAAAGCATGTTGGCTGTTGACCAGATACAGCCAAGAAGATTGGAGAGGGGTCCAGGAGCTGTGC